GTTTCGAACGTTTTGACATCAAGCTGAACAGTGTAATCAATCTTACCATAGATTTTATGCATAGATATGAATGACAAATAAGCGTATTCAGATTGTTTTAAAAGGTGTATGTGGATTTTAATAAATTCTAGTACAGATATTGTCATGAATCGGCAACTGTTAGAGAGTCATAAAGACCAAGGAGTGTTGGATAATCGTTTCATCCCAAGCGGGAGTTCTAGTGAGAAGTCGGGACCAGTGAGGTCCATCCAGTCAAGTGTGAGGATGGATGTCCAACCGACGACATTGGTTGGTGGTCGCGCTAAATCACGAATTTGTAGGAGTTAGAATCCATGGGCCGGCCACTGACTCGGTTCCAAGTGGCTAAATGGCATACGAGCTTGCCTTGTAACCGGAAGGTCTTGGGTTCGAGTCCTGGTGGTGGGTGCGAACTGCCGATGATTCCCAAACTAGGATGAAACAGCTGTCCAGTACTCCAGTACTGGTTTTCAATGGTTCTCTAACTGATATCAATCCGTGATCAACTAGTAAAAACAAAACTAATCCTTATAAACCAACTATAGAAAAAGTTTTATTTTATTTTCTACCCGATAAACGCTTTATATATTACGTAATTTGTCATCTGAAAAAATTTACAATTCTAATGACACATTCTTGAAGATATTCCTTTCGTTGCCAAGATAATTTACTATATATATATGATTGTAAAGCTTGAGAATGATATCGCTACAAAGAGTAACTCTGCGTTGAACACCTTTTCTTTTATGAATTCCAAATGTTCAATTCTGACATCTATATCTTCTCTATGATGGTATTTATTATTCATCATTCTATGCCATACTTTAGTTTTCTTTTTTTCATGGTTGACTCCTTTTGTTAGTATATGTATTGACTGTTAATTTCTTCCATTAAAGGTGAATATATATATCTGATATATGCATGCGAAAGCTGTGACCCACTATTCATCTGTCTTCTCTAGCACTGGCATATGACTTCATCTATTTGATGTAATTCTGTACTAAAGAATTTTGATTGTAGTAATTCTCTTTATCTACAATGTTGTTAACTAGCTGAAACAATCAATGCTTTACACTTAATAATAATAATAATAATAATAATAATAATAATAATAATGGCCTTGTTCTAGAAAGTACACGTACACAGAATTAAGAATTTTCAGAAAGTTTCTTATTGCAAGGTATTTACAGCTTGTGCGGAGTTTTCAAGTAATATATAATAAATGATAATATATATTAGTTGAAGCAATATTGTTTTATCCGAGGCATCCTCCAATAATCCACAATGTTTCTTCTCGATTACTGTCAGAAAATTTGTAGCGATGGGTTGAAACCTGTTTGGAAATGTGCCTGAGTTTACAAAGCGATTCTTAAACAATTATATATATATATATATATATATATATATATGTACACGAATAGAACTTTAGCTTTGTGATAGAGTACAGTTCCATCATAGAGTGAGTGTATTTGATAAAGTCACACAGTGATATACAGCACTATTTACTGATGACGTTTCGAGCACAATTTATTGAACAAAAAAGTGAGTATTTCATGCATTTAGTCGATTATAGATAGGATTTCCTTCATCACACAGCTGTGTATGCATCACTGTGTAACTAGTATAATTCGTAGACAGTATTTTTCTTCGTAAAAATTAATTCTTTGGTGGCGGCTAGCACTGTGGACGCGCATTTTGTTCCATTCAGGAGTCGTCAGTTGATAGTGCTCTCCCTCTTGACACCGAAATGTTAATCACTTGGCTATCACTTTATTCGCCAAAGTCACTTCATGTGATGCGAATATGATTTTGGGGTTAGCTATGGGTAACTTTAATTTCCTGTTGATATTTGGACTTCATTGAGAACCACTACCACCAAACAGGTAACTTCAAATGAATAAATGATGAGAATATAGATGGGAAGGTTGAAAGAATCCATGAACTAAAGTGAGGCTGATAGATGTGGTCCACAAGGAAGACAGTGTTGTTCCATACACTTATCTGCCTAGACAATAAGTATGTCGACCGCTTAAACAACCTTCCATTCGACTAGTACATCTGTTCAATGCAGTCTTTGTATTCTTTTAAAGACAGTTATTTTTTAAAGCTGTCATTTATTATGATACGATCATCAAAGTACTGTTATGCAGTAGGAGCAAATCGTTTATAAACTTCACCCTTATTCTTTGGTAATTTTAAAGAATTTCAATTCTGGTCACGGAGTGATATCATTTAGACAACCATCGGAAACCAAAGAGCGCTGGACAGACGTTTTGTCCCAGTTTGCGACCCTTCATCAGTACGCACCACCTATGACCCCATCAAGAATCTAACTTAGATCATGAGGCTGGCGCGTTGACCTTTCAGCCACTAAGACCCACCAGGTTGAGTGATCCATCGATGTGATAATTTGGTTTCCTTCACTACCTTTCATTGGTTTCATCTAAGTTGATCTCTTCACCGACAGTTATCTGTGCGTCCGTGGCACAGTGGTTAGGACTCTCGCCGACCATGCATATGGTCTGGGGTTCGATCCCCTGCCGACGCACACCTGATATCTGTGGTAGGCCTGCAAAATTTGGCTACCGATATCCATGCTGAAAATTCCATACTCGTACTGAAAATACGGTGTGGCATCAAGCTGTAATCAAAAATAAAAAAATAAAATTATCTGGTATAGTGTTCTGAAGTATCTCTTACCTGAAGCCTATCCTCCTACAGTTTCCAATGTGGTGAAAAAGTGTCTTTTGTCTTTCCTAGCACTTTAATTTATTTCTTTATTAAGTGTATTGTACATTGAATTCATCTTTTCCTTTCGTTGTCCATCTTTGTAGTGGTTCACCTTCTGTTTCGCCATCTTCCTCTGATGTATTAGCTTCCAGGTATCCGTTGAGAGCCATTCTTTGTCTTGCCTCTTCTTTTTCCTTCACGTCGTTGTACAGCTTTCCTTGAACAACACTTCCACAGAGTTCCAATGTTCTTTCACGCAGGTTTCCTCATTGATACCACATAATGTCTTCAACTTTCCTCTGATGGCTGGAGTTAAATTGTCTTCAGTAATTTCGTCTTTCAGTTTCTAAATGTTGAACTTAAATTGTGTTCGGTCTCTAGTTGGTTTGAAGGCTTTCAGCTTTACCTCAGAGACTCCTTGCACCAGTTAAAGGTCTCAGTCTACATTTGCTCTCCTTCTCGACTTTGTGTCGAGCAAACTGCATCTTGAATTTCTTGAGCAGCACTGAAACGAAGTCAATCTGGTCTTTGGCATGTCCATCACGAGAAGTCCATGTTGCCTTGTGTATATCCTTGTGTATTTGCACACTGCCTCTAATCACCAAATCATTGAAGGCGCAGAAGATTTCTGAGAAGAGTTCTACGTTGTTACCTTTCTTTTTACCAAGCGGGAGCCTATCGACAAATGATGAATTCACCACATGTATTGTCGGACCCTACTTTCTCACTCACATCACCCATCAAGATTTCGATGTCACCATTTGGGATGTTATCCATTACTGTTTGCAGTTGTCTATAGAAATTTCCCTTCTTCTCTTGTTCCGAGTTGTTTGTAGGTGCGTAGCATTGGATAATTGTAACCTTCCTTCCTTTTGAGTTGAATCTTGTTGTCATAATCCTGGACGAAACTGGTCACCACTACATCAGGGCTTTGGCTGCTGTTGGTGAAATCATGATAGCTACTCCCTCAGCATGGCCATAGATGTTGTCTAAGTGGCTATTGACTACTGACTCTCCAGTTAACAATTCTGAGCTTCAACTTACATTCCACCTTTTTCACATATTCCTAACGCTCCGATACGATATCTCCTCATTTCTCTTGCAATCTTAGTAGCCTTGCCAGATATCTTCAAGCCTATTACGAGTATTCCATATCCTTCATGCTTACTTTTGCTTCCATCGAAAGCAGATTTTGTAGCGACTAGATTAATTTTTTGGGGTAAGGTCACAAGATCGACGTCAAACATTCGATTTTTCCTGGGCTTACGAATAGTTTGTAAACTAGGCTGGGTGATATGGAGAAGATCGTGTGAGGAGAAAGTGGAAGCTTATGGGCAGTTATGATGTTCCGGTGAAGCCTAATATTCCATTAGGAATTCAGGGGAATAATAACAGTGGTAATTATCGGCCCTTGGGAACTGAATTCAAGTGGTTAGACAGTAAGCACCTCTAATTCCCCGAGGAAATTTACATCACCTAAAGACATACACAAAGCGTACTGGGTTACAAGCAATTTTCACAGTGAACTTTGAAACTTGAGGAAATTAGGTAATTCTGAAAAAAAAGATTGCATTTCTGTTAATGAGAGTGGGATGAGTCAACACAACACTGAAATTGTTTCTGTCACTCAAATGATTCAACGCCAAGGAATTCTCACTTCACTGTGTATGTATGTGTGTGTGTTTGTTTACGGTTGTATATACCACGTTAAAAATTACCTACTCAGTATTCAAATAATTTTCACTCATCATCACGTGATTTTGAGAGGTATCAAGCAAGTACCATTTGAAAGAAATAAGGCAAATAGGAATCCAGTTAATTGAAGAAGCAGATTAATAATCGATATTGATGTCAATCTGTCATTAACAAACACCAGCACACACACACACATACACATAGACGCACGTACTGCTGTTACAAAATACCTACTTACGTATGGCATGCACGTACGCACTTTTGCACACGCACGTACACACCCACACACACACTCGTATACACTCACGTGTTTCACTTACCAACATCATAATATAATAGACATAATAGAGTAGGTATTTATACAACTGAATTATTAACTGAGATCATTTAGAAAAAGAGTGTAATATGAAGTTAAGACGGATTATGATGATGATGATAATAATAATAGGATTCAAAAAGCACATTATATAGTTAAATTATTACATTAAATTATTCATTCATCCCACGAGAAGAAACTCATTTTGTGGAAATATTAAATTAATTGGCCAGCCTTTACAATGTCCTTAACGCTGGACCTTAAATATTTGGTTGGATTAACCGGGAAAGGTGATCGTAGGATTAAAGTTTCATTTCGTGGTAAGTTGAACTATACTGACTGTTGTTAAATAAATAAATATGCTGCTTACTTGGTGACTATTAGATTGGCGTGTTAGTTGATCCGTAATTAAAGACCACGTGATCGGCTGATAAGCCAAACTTCATAGAATAAACTAATCACTAGTGTATTATACACTTCAAGGTGAAAATTCACTAATTATGATTTCCTTCCAAAATGTAAAATATTTAGATCACATTAAAAAGACCAGCATGACACCAGAAATAATATCAGAAGAAAGCGATCAAAGCTGCAACGTGACATAAACTGCTGGTTGGTGTAAGTAGTGGGAATCTGCTCACGTCAACCAGTAGGGCTTGTCAATCAAATCGAAGGGATCTAATCATCCGACATCGGTTTTGTTCGTTTGGGCCTAGTGTCCCAGATTAAACTCATATCAGACGGCCAAATAATATCGAATCACATGAATTCAGATTAGCTATTTGAGGTCAGTCGACATGTTCACAATATATTGACATTAGAGTGCATCTTAGTATACTTAAATCCTGGTCTTATCATAGCATCTCCCCCAAACGTTTTACTGTATCCTATGCGTCAGACTTCGGTTACCCGACCTCCGTTGGCACACTAATTAACGGCTAACATTATAAAGCGCTGTGCTAGGGGAATCAAATACTTCAGTAGAAAATGGTCGATTTCTAGTTTACTCTTACTCTTATGTGCTAAAATGTCTTACTGTCAGTCCACTTTAATTAATCAGCAGTTACTTCTGAAAGGTAAACCGTCTAAGATTAAGCAAATTCGTATTTATTGACTTAAGACTTTTAAAAGACTGATTAATTAACAAAAAATATTCTTTTCGAATTGCAATGGCTTCTTATGATTGGACACTTATAACCGGTGTGACGTGTCTAGTCCTTTCTTTGGTGCAGACTGAATTCTATCAGCCAGGTTTGCCTTGCTGACGAGTGCCAACTAGCACGAAACCTAGGTCCAAGGTTTCCTGCCGATTGCCTCCAACTATATAATGGCTCCTTGTATTTAGGGTGTTCGGTGTCTAGAGGCGTTTGGTAATTTACTGCATACCCTACAGATGATAGACATAGACTCTTCAATACTAGCTTTGGAGCCTGTTTGGACGAGGTGTTCAAATATAGAACTGTTGACGATTTTGACAACACCTTTATTTGACCACACTGGCAGGTGTTTATTGACTTGAACATTCAGTTATGTTCATATAGATAGAAGAATATAACAACACCATAAACTAAGCAACAAATCTTCTCTATCATGTCCTGAATTTGGTTCCTTGTGTTAACAGGTATCAGCTATTGTATATCTTCATCACTAAGCATGACCCTTCTTTTCAAACAACGCAATTAATAACAAAAAATGGGGCAGTATCTTTCTTATCGGTTATTCACAAACTAGAATGATTAAAATAAATATTTACATTGCAGTTTTATAACTTTCGAATAACGATGAAAAGTAATCACCAAATACAGAGAAGTCGTAGTGAAGAGGTTAGTAAAGTGATGACATTTCCGCGAACACGAAAATCGAAATGTTAATCTCCTCCTTGTTAAAGACTGCTTTCAGGATGAATGTTGTGGAGTTCTAATGGGAATTTATACCCAGTGGAGTATAATACGTGGAATGTGAAACTGATGGTAGTCGTTCATGGCAGCACTTTATTAGGAATTGACAGAAGGTAGAATCCATAGGTCATTGGATTCCCCTACTCGACAGCTGCAAGTGGTCACCTCGTAACCTGCCGGTTCTGGGTTCAATTCAATATGGGATCATGGGTCCCAAACTAGGAAAAAATGGATAATCCAACAGATAAATAAACAGTTTCTAATCGTGAATTTTTTGAATAACTGTAAGCACTTGAAGAAAGGAATGTAACACGAAAGGAGAGAACGGGTTGTATTCAGAGGGTATTGGAATTATATCGGCTTGGTATAATGATAACTGACTTATAGTAATACTATAGTACACAGTTATGGTATAAAAGATTTTGTGAATCATTTTTATTTATAATTATTCACGAATATGACAAATGGTAGTGAAATGGGTCAGACGAGGGGTTGAAATCATAGACTATCAAAATTAAAGTAGGTAAATATCCACGACATCTCATCATCAATTGTTTTTGACTGATTTATATGTAAATTTAAAAGCAGATAGCTTTTACACAAAACAGAATGGGATTCAAGACCTTTCTGGAGCATGTCAAGAATAAATTAAGTAAAGTAGGATAAAAAGGTATTAGAGGCTGTTTGTTTTAGATCTATATTGAAGATCACACGACTGGAAAGGAAGAGGTTAGAAGAAATTCTAGAGACGAACCAACAAAGAACCTTTAGCTCAACAAATATGCGGTAGTACTTGGAAATGGATTGGACACACTCAGAGAGAAGACCATTGAATGACATCACACCCCAGACCGGCCTTTTAGTTTAGGGTGAATGGAAAGTGGTGAATTAGGCAAAAGGTGCGAAGTTGACAAGGAGAGCAGCTCATTTTAGGAGATGATGTAAGATTATGGGAAGTCAGAGAACCAGCTGAAAAAATGACAACAACAGGGAACAGAGTGGAATGGAGATGTACTACTGAAGTCATATATTCCACTCTGAATCCAAGGGGGGGGGTTAGCTGTAATATAATGAAAAGCTTTCTGATGTGTTTGTCTTCTCTGAGCTGGATAGTTAATTTGCGAAGCTTTCATCGCCCTACTAGGCAACATGTTCAGCGCATGCTTCAAATTGAAGTTCCACCCTAACTGGATTTTCAGCTTGAAATGCAATCCATTGGTTTAACAGTAGTCAACAATCAAGTAAATTTTCAACTACCTTGCAAATAATCTAAACAAACACTCAAACCCACTTTCCGCCTTATGTCTCTTATACCTCACTATATTAATTTTTGTTTGGTCTAGTCACGACCATCGTTCATTGAGTTTGCCTCACTCCCCACATCCATAATCAATGACTTGTTAATAGTGCTCATTAAAATCTCTTGTAATTATACTATCTTCTAATGCTACGCTTCAAAATGATTAGATGGCTGAATTGAGACCACTCTTGTCTCTCAACTTGCAAGCATTTTCAATTGTCAGTCTCATTATCTTTTATACAGCTAACAAGAATACAACAAAATATTATCAATCTTCAGAGCTGACAGAATTGTAATTTAACTTCAATTTCGTAAACATATTATAACCAGTCTCATGACTCATCAGTCTAGTAAAGAATCTCTTTATTTTAGAGAAGATATATGCTGGTCTTCAAACTGAGTGAAAATGCGGTAATTCATTTCGATGGAGATGAATCCGAACGCTTCGACGATTTTATTGTTATTATTGTTTCCTTTAATTCCTAGAGGAACATAGGGCTTCAGCCGTGCGTCTCCATTGCGTTCGGTTCTCTGCTAGAGTCTTCACCTGGCTCCAAGTCTGCCCACACGTTTTCACCTCCTCTTCACATGACCTCCTCCAAGTCACCCTCACCCTTGCACTGACGACCAACTCGCCGCTTCCCTTTCAGCCGGGTTCCACTCGAGCAATGGCTTGTCTAGTGATGTCACTTGGCGGTTTCCTCAGAGTATGGCCAGCCAATCCATCTCCATTTCTTCCTACCTATTTGTTTCACAATCGGTTCCTGGTTGGTTCGCTCCCAGAGATCTCTGTTGCTGATCTTTTCTGGCCATCTCTTCGACGATTTATGAGGTGTTATTTAGTGAACAGTGACTAGCAGTAGAATGCATAATCTGTGTTATTTGGGACTGGTCAGCCGAATGTACCTGCAATTCCCAGTGAGTGATGGTGTTCAAGTCTCAATAAGAATGCCGTTACTCACTGAGAACTGCGGCTACATTCAAATGACAAGTTGTAAGAAAGGCAAAATGAGCAACCTGAATTCCACTACTAGTCACTAGGCACTAAACCCTGAACTAAAATGAAACGTCTGTCTTCTGTTCCTTTTCATTGGTTCTGTATACTTCAGTTGTACTCAGTCTGTGATATCCACATTGAAAGTGTAACTGAGGTACTTTACACGTGAATAGAAATAAAACAAATGAGAAAATTCACTTCGTTATGTAAAAAAGAATACCCTTTATAGGGTACTTTTTTAAAGCTTTATACACCTCCTAAATTGACCAACATAGATTAATTGGATATGATGTCATATTATGCTTATTCATTCAGGTTATGAGGATTGGAAGGGCTGGGTTTGTGGGATGGTTGTCTACTGCTGAAGAATTCAAAACTAGATCGAAACAGATGTCAAGTGCTCCTTGGTTATTATAATTGTTTCTCTAACCGATTTTGGTTTGTGACGAAAGTACTGCCTAAAAAGAAAGTTGTGAATTAGCACACATTTCAGAATGTATATTGAATGTCAGGTCGTTAGAATGAACTGTGACGAATTTTTTCACTTAGTTAAGTTTTCCAGTTGTTTAGCTTCACTGGCAGGAGGTATCTACAACATCGATAAGGGGTAGGTAATAAAGGGTTAGAATCGGCATCACACTGTAATGTCGTTAAGGTGATTCACTTCAAGCTTTTCTAGCCACACTGATTAGTTATGTCAGGCTATGAACTCAGTTAACTAGGATAGATTTCTCTTGTCCCAGACTATCTGCCACACTTATTGCGTCCTGGAGATTTTCTTGCTATCTATTCACCCAAATTAAAATGTATGGAGTCGTATTCATACATGATGTCTATCGGGTGAAAGCTGGGTGCTTAGGCCAATGAGCCACATCTCCACTCACTTGGGAGTAATTGATATTACAGTGTCTAATCCTAAGTACTAAATGAATTCTGTCAACCGCATTTGTAATTTAGTCACTAAAACATGAATGGTCTACTAGCTAGGCTTGTGACTGGTAGATCCTGGATTCGAACCCCAGTGAGTGCGTACTGGGAAGAGTCCCAAACCAGGACAAGACAGCTGTTCAGCACTCCCAAGCCTTCCAGTGGTTCTCTGACTAATGTCAGCTCGTCATCAAACCTGTAACGAAACTAGAGGACTTGCATTCGTGAAGCGTTTGGAATGATAACTGTTAACTGGTGGCTATTGGAAGTATGCCCTGAACTTACACTGTGTACTTATTTCACTAATTAATACATTACATTCTGCTCAATAAGAAGTCAACTGCCATTCAAATAAATTAGCTGCTTTTCGTAAGATAATATACAATATTATTTAATGTTTCTGAGTTGTTTAAGGAGTTGTGGAGTCTTACACAGACTGAAATCCCAACTTTATGTGTCCATGTTTTGGAGTAGCCACTTAGTTGATTCAGAAGTCACTTAGAAAGCCAGACAGACGGTCCATCCCGGTTTCGGACTATTAAACAGTATGCATTCCCGGTCCCACAACGGATTGATCCCAGGATATTCAGATTACGAGGCATATCCGCTAACCATCTAGACAATCGGAGGGGGGGATCGAATGATTTCTGACAGCAAAGAAATCTACATTGAAATCAATCGAAGAATTTCTAGAATTCTGGGAAAATCCAATTAATAATTATTCATTCTGTTCACTACTGACTAGAATCTTTTCCTTATTATTATTATTATTATTATTATTATTATTATTATTATTCATTATCAGAGGCTAAACAGACTTCAAGGATTGCAACAGGTCATGACAGTGTATATTTTGGACAGCGTATCACTTGGCCAGTCAGTCGTCCATTGGATGATAAAGATGTATTAATTCTAAAAGCCTATCATGTTAAAAAAGGCCTACCAGACACGTAAGTGGCGTTTGATTTCTTTTTTCTTGTGTTCATTTAACAAAATGATATTTCAGTTTTTGTTTGTTTGATTGATTCATCGAAAACCACTTTTAAGACATGTGGAGAGAAAAGTGGAAGGCAGTAACTGGCTGACAGCGAGAGACTCACTTACTAGAGTTGTACAATCGCAGTTATAGGCACTGTGTTTCGTGAATATGTCTGTTTAAATTACGCGATTACTGGTAGAACAAATACAATAAATATTGTTGAGATTAGTGAGTGTTAATCAAAGTTTAATCGTCTCTCTATTGTGCTACTTCTTGACTGTCATTTATGTAGCTCTCAAGTATCAATTTACTGGAATTGAATCGATTTACAGTCAGATCATAAACGAACCGCTGAGAAGCGTCAAGTATCAGAGAGCTGTTTCGTTCTAGTTTTGGGTTCTCCCTCTTCTATGCACCCCGAAACATTCAGATTATGAGGCCAGCCCTTCGGCCTTCAGCGAATCAACACTTGAAAATCAACCTAATGCTGGCTACTGACTGACTACGGGGTGGAATGCTTGTTCTAGTGACTTCTAGTGAGCAGTGGGGTCAACCAAGTCATGTAAGAAGACAAATACTCGCAGATGATATTGACTAGTGGTGGCGTTATATATCGTGAGTCAGTGGGTGTTAGAATTCATGACCCAAAGGATTCCATCCCGGTGGTAGAATGATCAACGAGCTGACGCTGTAACATGAAGGCCCTGAGTTCGATCCCTAGTGGGATCACGGGTATGTACTGATGAAGAGTCCGGGACTAGGATGAAACGAATGTCCAGTAGTTTGTGATTTTCGATAGTGCTCTAACTTATACCATTTAGTCATGAAACTTCAAATTATGAAGTTTACAGTGAAATAGTATGATATTCAAACATTGTAGTTGGAATTGTGCACATGCACATGGAACGAATGTACGATTAAAGATAATGATAAGACTGACTTTTCGGGGTGTACTAAAATACGCCTAATCTCAGGTAGCAATAGAACCATCAGAAGAAATAAGCGATTACAAAACTTTACAAACGGTTTGTACGTTATGAAATCTTGACAGATGAAAAAATGAGAATCTCCTTGTTACTTATTACGTGAGATTACCTTGAACTTAATTTTGACATTATAAACTTTAGAAGTGCTGATGTCAGCTGGTTGGAGGCAGTATACAGAAAGCCTTTTTGATGTGGTTGTGTTCTCTGAGCTGGATAGTTGATTTGCGAAGCTTTCATCACCCTACTAGGTGACATCTTCAGCGCATACTTCAATTTGAAGTGAGCTTTTAGATTTCTCCACGAGTTTATTAATCATCTCTCCTGGCGACCTTGGACGTGATTGGTTGTTTTTGTTTGTTTTCACACCTTCTAGGTTGCTTGTATTGTCACTCATTGTTTCTTTGACTTGAACTTTGACCCTTTGTGTGTGACGTTTCTTTCTTATCGGTTGATAAATTTTGTCTATCTCGATGTGTCTATTGATTGATGATTCACTGGAATGCCAAGCTTCTAAAAATTCTCTAGCATTCTTGTTCTTTCCTCGGTCTATATGTAGTGATATGAGGGAGTGGATATCATGTCTCTTGACAGCTAGCTTATGTTCGTGGATACGAAGACGAAGGGGACGTCCACTTTGGCCAATGTAGTGTTTTTCGCAGTTGATACAATCTATTTTGTAGATGATGTTGGTTTTATCTTCCTTCGCTGTTGAGTCTTTTGGTTGACATAGAATTGAGTGAAGTGACTTTGTTGGTTTGTGTACGACGTCAATTCCTAAAGGTTTGAAGAGTCTTGTAGTGATTTCTGAGATATCCTTTATATATGGTAAGGCGATTTTCTTTGTGCTTTCCTTGGGGGCTTTTGGTTTGATAGGTTGGCTTGGGGGTATATGTCTTTTGATGAAATTCCGTGGATATCCATTCTTTTGGAAGACGTCCATGAGATATTTTTCTTCAATTTTCCTTAAGGTGGGAGTGCTGCAATGAGTCCTGGCTCGCTTGAATAGTGTTTGTATGCAATTCCTCTTGTGTGCTATTGGATTGTTGCTGTTGTAATTCAGGATTTGGTCTGTGTGAGTTGATTTTCTATAGACTTGAGTTTCTAATTCTCCTGTCGTTGTTCGCTTGACTAAGACATCCAAAAATGGGATTTGGTTTTCTGATTCCTCTTCTCTTGTGAATTTGATGTCGTTGAAGACGTTGTTTATCAGGTTGTGAGCTTTATCTAACTCGTTTCTTTTGATAATTACGAATGTGTCGTCTACGTAACGTATCCAAATCTTGGGTTTGATCTTTGGTAGAATTATGTTCTCGAGCCTTTGCATCACTGCTTCTGCAATCAAACCTGATATTGGTGATCCCATAGGTGTTCCTTTGACTTGTTCATATATTTGGCCGTTGAATTGGAAGTACGTTGTTAGACATAGGTTTATGCATTCCATCCAACTTGTGTGTTGCATTTTTGATTTTTGTGGAAGGTGTTCGTCGTTGCTAAGTAATTGCTCCATGGTTTCTTTTGCTAGTTTTTGTCCGATTGAGGTATACAATGCTGTGACGTCGAAGGATATCATTATCTCTTGTTCATCTATTTGGATGCCTCTGATTTTCTCTAGGAATTGGATAGCGGAGTTGATGGAGTGGTCACAAGATTCCGTTAGGTGCTTTAGTTTTCTGTATAATTCTTTGGATAAATTGTATGTTGGAGTTCCTGGTAGTGATACAACTGGTCGTAACGGGATATTTGGTTTGTGTATTTTGGGTCTGCCGTAGAATCGGGGTAGGACTGGTCCACTGGATTTCATTCGCCATTGGTCTTGTTTTGTGATTTGTCCAGTTTTGGTAAGCTTGTTTATGGTCCTTTGGATGCGGTTGTCCAGTGTTTGTATAGGATTTGTTGGGAGTTGTTGATACACATCCTTGTCTTTGAGTAGTTCTTCAGCTTTATTGGTGTATTCTTCTCTGTCCATGACTACTGTTGTTCTTCCTTTGTCGGCTGGTAGAATGACGATGTCCTTCCTATTTTTCAGCTTTTTGAGGGCCTTTAGTTCTTGAGAGTTGAGTTGTGTGTGTTGTTTCTTCTCTTTGACCATTGGTACAATTGTTTGGCGTATCTCTTCTTGTGTTTCCTCCTTTAAGTTTGATGATTTGAGTAATGATTCAAAGGCAGCGAAGAAATCAGTTTTCGAGGTATCTCCGGTGTTGTAGTTTAATCCTTTTTGTAGTAGTTGTTTTTCCATTTTTGATATTGGTTGTTTTGATAGGTTGACTACGCAGTCTATAGGTGTATTGTCTGGTTGTTGTTTTCTAATCTTGGCTATCTTGGTTTTGAGGACTCTTCGTCTTTGTTCTCTGTGTTTTCTAATTGACAATGTAATTGCGGTGATCAGCGTTGATAGGTGTTCCTGGTTGAGGGTTTTCTCTAGTTTTTCTTTTTGGACATCCATTATTTGTTGATATTTCTTGATCCGATAATGTGCGTCTGTAATCATTAATTTGACCATTCGTCTTCCACATTGTTCAGCCAATTTCCATCCCATTGGGCAGTTGACTGGTGGTTTGTATCTTACACTGGTCGGTAGGATTTGATGACGAAGGCACTCATGGAGAAAGAATAATTGTTCTCTGGTGGATCCTTGCCTTTTGGCGAAGTCTTCCCACTTTCGAACAGAGAGAAGCGTTTCCCGCTCGTAAGATTTAGAAATGATAGAGAAGATTTGTAGCTCAGGTGGATGATTTTGATGTGGTTGTGTTCTCTGAGCTGGATAGTTGATTTGCGAAGCTTTCATCACCCTACTAGATGACATCTTCAGCGCATACTTCAATTTGAAGTGAGCTTTTAGATTTCTCCACGAGTTTATTAATCATCTCTCCTGGCGACCTTGGACGTGATTGGTTGTTTTTGTTTGTTTTCACACCTTCTAGGTTGCTTGTATTGTCACTCATTGTTTCTTTGACTTGAACTTTGACCCAAGCGGGAAACAGAAAGCCTTAGACCTAAGTCTCTATCTCGCGCATTGATAGTTGTCAGTGTTTCGGATCTGCTGTTTAGAAAGAACTGATATCCCCTCGGAGATTCCAAACAGTGCTACCTCCAGCCACCCAGAAACAATTCAGATTGTACTGTGATGGCAATTGTCCTCCCTTGGTGACTACATAGTAAACGTGACTGGTAGAAATCAATCAGAAACAAGGCTAAGGGTTGGGCATATGACATTGGTCAATCCGTAGTAATCAATTAGCATATAATTTAGTGTTGTCTGATGACAAGATTGTATTAGAAACACTACTGTTAGCTTCAGCTGGGTAGGAAAACGGTAATCGGTAGTCATAAAAATTGAGAAATCGCAAAGCCCATTGGGTGAAATTTGCAAATCATTTAAAGTTTCCTCCGGGTCATGGATGCGAATTACCGAAATGTGTCATCAGATACAAAGTCTTGGTTCAGGAATTCCTTGTAATTTGCTTTTACCATTGAAAATCATCCACAAAGTACTATGATGATGAATCGTTCAATGAATGTATAACAGACTAAGGGGGAAGGTATGCTACATTAAAAATAGTCAGTGCTAGGAATATTTCCGTATATTAGTTAAATCAAATCAAATAATCCCTTTGAGTTGGTCAACCGATGGGTGTAACGGCCAAAAATCGAGGTGTTGGGGTCTTAACACAGGAAACCGACCTTTGTGTCTTGCCACATTTTATTTATTTATTAGTATTAGATGGTTGGAAGCAATCGGCAGGAAGCCCAACCTGACCTAGGTTTCGTGCTAGTTGGTACTCATCAGCAAGGTGTATCTGCGACCTCAATGGAACTCATGTCCCTTCTGAGATTCGAACCCAGTGCTGCAGTCAGAGACGTCACTACTGAGCCATTCAGACTCGCGATTGACCTCCTGTAGGACTGTATTCGATATTTTTGATTGGATACTAGACAGTAACTAGTGATACAGCAGGCTAGGAGAAAAACGGATAATAATTACAAAGTTAGTTGAAACATCCAAATAAGTATGAATATCGTAATTAGATCGTTCATAGGATGGATTTTCCGTTACAATGAGTACCGGTAAAGGAGAAAAGATAAGTGTTACTTCAGTGTTGAAACAATTATTGTTTAACTGAACAGTTTTCAATCATGCCTCAGTGCATACACGTTTGTCTAAGAAACGTGACTTTATCAAACAGTTGATTCTGTTAATCAAGCATAATAGTTAGGTAGTTTTCGAAGACTACTTGCACATTCCACGTAATCAGAAAATACCTACACTTCCATACTCACATTCTTAGAAAATTATGTACAATATATGCATGATGGATAGTAAATCATAAATCTCACTCACATATTTCTTATCCCATAAGAAATCTATGTAAGGGATGTTTTTAAAAAGAGATAGTCAGCTAAATAACTTATAAGAACTTCATCTGTTACGAGTTGAAGTCGGCTCACTCAAGCATCTCTTATTCGGGTTCCAAAAGAGGACTAATTATTATTCTATTAGACATCTTCATAATTTTGTGATTTCACGTTAATATACCTGGAGTGAACTCGTCAGCCTCATTTTCGTACATGAGCTGTTTGCATGCATTTCTTGGTATCACCAGAGTTAATAATTCATAGTTACTTGTTCGGTGGTGGTTACCAGTTGAATGACAGGTGGCTGTCATGGCCCAGTAGTCTGGTGGATAATGTTTTCACGCTTGAAGTGATAGGTGCCAGGTTCTAGCCTTAGTGGGAAAATCCTCATTCACTTATGAGCAGACACATCCAGTCGATGAGTCCCCAACAGGACGAAACTCTCATCATGGATTCCATTATTAGCCACTACCAGACACGTCGTCTTGGATTATTGTGTTAGATAATTAATTATTTCAGCCGTAATAATGCAAAGATAAGATAAGGTTTTTGCATATATTTACATTTTATATTATTAAAGAAAGGGATGCTATAAGCAGATGATCCTTAGGTTTTGATGTGAAATAGCAGTCTGTAGAATCTACTGAGTATGATAGTAGTCAATCACTGTTGGTCTCATCAAATTGTCAAAAGTTGGTTTTCCAGTTGAGAGACGCCATGCTAAAATGAGGCTTGAAGCTTCTCAGCTTTGTTGTATGTCGACATACTGCTAAAATTTTTTAAAAGAAGATGAAAGTTGGCATGTTGTAGCACCCAGCCAGCAACACTGGGGTTGGTGGTAGCAACAAATTCTGTTGCCAATCAAGGTTTCTTTCTCAATTTCTATCATCACTGTTATGCAATACATTCTTAGGGTCATTTATATAACTCACATTTTTGAAATAATATTTAGATTTAGGTGGTTTTCAATATATTCCTGGAAGACTAATGCCAGGCGACAGCAGGAAGCGTTGATCAGTTGTTAAATGAATTAGACCTTCTATTGATTGGTCACTGAAGAATAAAAACCAGCGTCATCAGTATTAGTGCTACTGGAATTCTGTCATTCAAGTTGCAATGTGGTCACCAATCTGGAAGACTCGTGACTACGGTGCAATTTTTGATTCAGTTTTATGTAGTTGGTGGTACTCGATGGAAAACCTTGGATCTAGATTTCGTACTTATCGTTCTACAGGAGGTCAGTAATTAGCCTTAGTGGCTCTGTAGTAACATCTCTGACTACAGCGGCAGGCGACGCGGGTTCGAATCTCTGGGGAGCACCAGAATACAGATACCACTTGCTGACGGTTGCCAATAGGCACAAGACATAGGTCCAAGGCTTCTCACCGACTGTTTGCAACAAACTAACATTAAATCAAACATTACTTATATTTGGTCGCTGAACTAACATTTAAGTAGTAGGTAATGCATTCTAATTTAGTTTCTTAACTAATTTTCACCTTGGTAAAAAGCCTGATTTACTTTGAAATAACAAGTTTTCATAGCTGAATTGACATTAGATTTTTTGTTTGTATACTATTTCTTACAAGTGCATCATCAGGAGATCAAGAAGTGACCGGATAAAAGTTCGCATCGTTTTCGATAGATAACACAGTGGATGCTAATTGCTCCTAAAACTGTATTGCACTAGTGTTTAATAGATTAACTGGAAGATGATATTTCTTCAACAGGGAGGGGTATTATCCTAAAGAAGTTCCACCAGTAAAACTTGTCCCAGTGGTAGAAAAGGTAGCCTCCTACACTCCTCCAGAAAAGATCTAATTTGCCTACAGATATCTTGATCTGCGCAGTTAATTCTGAGCTTAGCTGTGATAGCTTGTGTTAAAACTTTATATGTTCCTGAATTACAAAAATCGTACATTAGTATATCAATAATAAATACAATAGAGTTCTCCTTCAAACGAAGGCATCTACGTATCACTGAAATGGTATTAACATGTAGAATAAAGCCTAACAGAGTCATGTGTATGTATATAGAGAATGGAACAGTAAACCCATACAGTTAACCCTAGGTGGTAGGCGAGTCACATGACAGTCTAATGGTTAATCATGGCTAAGAGGAAGTAACATTTGTTTGGTAAAATGTCACACTAGTTACCTACAGTGGTGAAAATCTCACTTAACTTCATCATTCTCAGTTATATCCAAATATCAAAAACATGTCAGCTAGTCCTTTATCTTTTTTTGAGTTATCAGTGAAACTAAAAATAGTTACACGAATGTTTGGGTGTTAAAAATCATATATCAATCACTGAGTTACGCGAAATGTCAGGCTTGCTAGTAGAGCACGAATAGGAAACTACAAGTTAGGCACCGGGGGGGGGTGTGGAGGAACGTGGAGGAGGTTGTATGTGGATGAAATGAAAACTGATGGGCAGTTGTACGGCCAGCTAGAAAAGAATACAGAGGACAGAGTGAAAGGAAGGTGTGTTGTTGAATTCCTACGTTCCACTCGGAACCCCAAAGAATATAAATAATAATTATACAAAAGCTCCCAGTTATCACCCCAAGTCAACCGACATGCAAAACATTTAGTGTAACAAGATCACATACCGACTGTAGATATTGAAGTGTTCAAAAATGCAAGATAGACTAATAAGCATAATCCAGTTCTAAATGTGGCGGACTGATGTAGATAACTAATCAAAAACAACAAGCACCAATCACTGTCAACGGAAGAAATTTGAAAGAGGTCAATTCTTTCACTTATCCAGGAGGCATCATTTCAACTACAGGTGGCCAGCACGGATGAGGATGTCTAAACTAGGGTCAGAAAGACAAGGCAGACAACTCTTCATCACTCTGAAATCAGTTTAGAAATCTTCTCCACTCCGCAGCATAGACAACAATATGCGGATTCCCAACACCAATGTTAAGTCAGTTCTATATGGATCAGAAATGTGGCCCGTCACAAAAATCATTTCCAAAAGGCTACTGAGGGCTTTTATCAACAGATTCCTTCGCTGGCTCCATACTGAAGATAAGATGACCGGTGGTAAGAATTAGAAACAAGCAGCTAAGGTAACGAACCAACCAAGAAAGTACTGTCCAACAAATATACCGGAGAAAATGGAGATGGATTGGACATACTCTGAGGAGGCTATCTAATGACATCGGGTGCCAGGCCACTGCTCGAGTGGAACCCGAATGGGAAACGATGAGGTGGTCTGTGATCTGAGGGTGACATGGAGGAGATCGTACGAAGAAGAGATGAGAGGCTATGGGCAATCGTGGGTACAGCTGAAGAGGAGTGAAGAGAATAGAATAATATAGAGGTACGCTGCTGAAACCCTATTTCCCACTTGGAACCCAAGGAAAAATTAATAATAGTAATAGTAAAAATATGAATACGCACCCGTGTTGTTGAACATTTTTCACACTTTTGTGAATATTTACTTCTCAGGATGTGACCAATGGAATAGTCAAAAATACAACTCTTAGATACATTATAAAAACTAAATAATGATTTTTGTTCTTTTAATTTTTTCATAATTTCAGTTTATTAGGTTCCTTGTCAGTAAACCTCTATCCGTTGAATAGAGATGTACATTCAATATTTCGAGAGAATCTTGTGGATAGTTCATGTCATCCAACTGGTGTAAGTATCACTGTGATATTTGTTTTTTATACTCTGATTATATTTAAGCTAATACAAATTTATCTTTGATTGGACACTAGTAACTAGTGTGACGTTCATCTACTTCCTACTTGTACTGAGATTATTTAAGACTGAAAAATCTTGTTCCCATATGAAATGAAATCTGGAACCAACAGATCCCGTTTCATTACGTAATGAAACAGAAGATTTAGGAAATTCAGTTAGAAAAAGATGAAAAAAATGGTTAGTTTTGACATAAACAGTTTGTACACTAATATTCCAATCAATACGGTTCTGAAGGCAGTTAAGAATGAACTGAACATAGGTCCTGAACTCAAAAATAGGGTTAAGCTCTTGGTTGATGGAATAATATTAGGCATTCAGTCATGCCTAACCTCCACTATAGTAAAATTTCGAAATAAAATATACAAACAAATGAATGGGATGGCAATGGGATCATTAATTTCTCCGATAGTGGCAGACATATTTATGGACAGTTGGGAATACAAAGCTCCTGCTTCTAGGTTATAGTGGAGGTACATCGATAACACATTCACTAGTGAATAACTACCCACAAGAATTTATTCAAAAATATACGAAGAACCATAGAAAGACTAAGATTAGCAATAAAAAGGACAAAAATAATATATTACTAAAAGCCTTTGCAGTAGGAACGTCAGAGGCCTTACGCAGGATTTTCAATGAGGCTGGAATTAGGGTGGCATTTAAACCAAGCTACCGTCTCAGAGATAAACTTTGTCGGCTTAAGGACCCAATAGACCCGATTAAGAAAGATAATATAATTTACCAAATACCATGTAATGACTGTGGGTGAGGTCAATAACATAGGACAAACTAGTACATAGGAGTCAACTAGATTACCGGAACATAAAAATTTAGTTACACATAGAAAAATTGACCCTGATAAGTTAAATAACCGAGAAGAAAGCTCAGCCATTGCACTGAATTCACTCGCATGTAATCACAAAGTAGGGTGGTTGGGATATGGTGAGAGTATTAAAAAGTAATATGGTCAGGTGGAGACACAGAGAAGTTATACAATAAAGATTTGTTTATCGATTCAACATCGCACACGTGCAATCGAAATAACTCGACGCCTATACCGGAGATATGGGAATTGATAGCAAACAACAAAAGGAAGACAGAGAGACAGAGAAATGCATATAAGACAAATTGTGAAGCCGTGTGACTAAACTGATGTGATTATGAGCAATAATTTATTCTCGAAACCATGTCATCCAGTTATTAATACTGCATCAATGTATGCCATTTCAAATAAACTTACCTAACATAGAATTCCGACAACTCTCTGATCAATGAAAAATATGACTGTGAGATCAGTCACTTTACCATAAGAGTTCATCAGCGCAAAAAAAGCAATAGCAGTGATGACTTAGTTTTAGATATTACTACCATGAAGTTTATGAATTCCTCAAGTACAACTATCCCGCCAAAATAAGACTGTACTCTAAGTTAAAAAAAGACAGTATGTCGCGTTTTATTACCTTACCTCTAGCCTTTTCTTGATATGAACACATAACCATCAATTTCATAGGAGGATTGCCTAATGGAAATTCAAATTTCGCAATTTTTCATCTGCAACTACTACTCATACCATTCAGTAGTATATTAATGGTCTCGATAGGTTTCTATTTGTTGTTAATTTATACTAATGCATAACTGCCACATATTTATCTGTTTATTTGAAAAACAAACACAACAGGTCATACTTTTGTTTGAACTTCGTTATCAATCGCCTGACAGTACACGAGGTGATTTAGAGAAAGATTTGATAAATTATCCACTGGCGGATACAGACTATGGTCTAGAGAATGCTGAATATGAAATTGACGAGGATCAGCCAGCACCTTACAGGTGAGTAATGATTTTCACTGGTTTTTTAGGTGTTTTTACTGACATAATTGGTATGTGCACGGTGGTTGTGATGATATTTGTAGTGGGTCAAACAATAGGTGCATCGGGATGGCGAATCATTCAGCTCGGTGACTACTACACTGCAAATGTGACAGACAGAATTCAGTTATCACCTGACGTCAACGTCTAGACGTATGACATTGGTTATGACCTAGCGACTAGTCAATGTAGGTATGGTGTAATTGTGTTATCTGAGCTGGATGGTCTAATCGCAAATCTTTCATTGTCTTTCTAGACGACATCTCCGTCGCTGACATGAATTCAAAGTCACCTCGGATAACACAACTGTGCTAATACCATCTATCTGAGCTACAAGTCTTCTTCATGGTTTATGCGTCAAAGTCTGTCTCACTAAAACATTGGAGAGTAAAAATGTTATATAATAAAATGAGTAATCAAGTGATGTATTCACAAGCATAACATATGAAAAGTGTGATTAGAAAATTCATTTTTCTGACTATGTAGTTTAGTCCAAATAAATTACAAGTTTCACTGAGAGGTGGGTGTAGGGTGAAATTCCCAGCTGACTGACTGGTCGGATGATGATAACTCTTCACAGATGACTTGGTTAAATCGATTGTTGATGTTCCATGTGTAAGTTTCTTAAAATGGTCAATTAACAGAGGTTCTAAAAAGTGACTGAGTGATTCAGAGCACGCAGGTGGTAGCAACCACGTAAATGTTGATTCTAATAGTGCTCGAAATTGCATCTGTAGGAAATTGCACATTACAGAAAAACGAACATTTGCTTTTAATTTTATATTTTATGCAAATTTGTGCTTGAATTCTTCATGATTGTGTGAATCCGGCTTGCAAACAGCCGTGAACCAAGAGTACGATTTAACCACAGAAAGACGACTGATCATTTTCGTTGAACCTTACCATTGAACTCACTGAGGAAGCAAAAGGGTGTAATCTGGTTACTGGATAAGACAACCTAAGTTCTTAGTAGACAAACTCTAGATTTCACTACCTTTATTGACCTATCTATGTATATAATGCATAGCCTATCCACAGATATGACTAAATTCATTGGTCCGTAACATCTTAGAACTCTGCACTTAACCACACAGTTCTAAGTTTCAGAGAGTTTTCAGAAGATCACACGCATTAGTGAAAAGAGTTTGTGATAGCTGATCTAGTGTATGGTAGAAGGAATCGAACCAGGAGTTCCCTCTCCCCGAAAAGGCTCTACCAGTTAAGCCTTTGGACAGGTCAAGACTATGAAAATCATCTTCGCACTACCTGTTCAGTCAGATGGTCTAAACTCAGTTCTCATCATATGAATTGGAAGAGAGAAGCAGATTGTCAACTGTCGGTGAAACTATCTCAAATAGGCTCAAGTTGGTAGAGTGATAGTGATGTTCTAAGTAATGTTAAAACTTGAGTAGATGTAGGATTCCAGTGGACATGCAATATCTGGTCAGTATTTCCTTAAGAACACATTCAATTAGTAGGGGATAATTTTTAAGGTTTTATTTACATTACTGTAGAAGACCACCTTTGAAATTCCAGTAGTATTAATGAAATAATAACTAACTAGAAGAATGCAATCGTCAATATTAACTGAAACTGTAAACCTTAGTTCTAACAGGTGAGCATAAACTGCCAACCACAGCGAAAGAGATCTATGTACATAGTCGCCTTTCGTACTGTGTTGTGAAAACAGTTATAATTACTAAAAGAATTTGATCAATTTTATGCTCATAGATACACGGAAATTTTCAAGAGTTTGTTTGTGTGGATTTGATTTGTTTTAAGTGCTTCCTGGATGTGTATTGCCGATGAGTCCTAAACTAGGACGAAACAGCTTTCTAGTAATATCTAGTGGTTTTCAATGGTTCTCTAACTGATATCGATTAGTAATGTAGGAATGTAGGACTTTTTCTTACTACTAAACGGTACATAAGTCGAACTTCATTGTACTCGAGGTCATTGTTAAACATTGATCTAGGCAATTAACCGTTTTATGCTTGTTGTCATTGTCCAGGAATACATATTCTCACACTTAAAGGATGTAACGTCCTTTTAGAAATTGAAGTCTGGATTAACTAGTGCTGATAAACCGTTCCAGTAACATCTGTCCTTAATAATTAAACTTTAGATTCCGATTCTAAGTGAGACTGATTTCAAACTCTGCTAGAAAATAAATTTCTTCTAGCCAACAGTTGATAAGTGCTGTCTCACAACTAAGACAGTTATAGCACTGTGGAGTCTCGTGTTGCTTAGCCATTGTGGGAAACTTAAATGACAAACTAGAACCAGAATTTTACTAACGATTTGCAGATTACACTGTCTACCGAGTGAGAATTCACCTGAGTTTTCTTTAGAAACTTAAGATACTCAGATCATTGTATTCAGTCTACCAGCCACAATAAATAACAATCAAGGAAGCAAGCTAAATGACGGGGCAGACTACTAGTGAACTCGGCCCCACAAACGAGAGAAACAGTCGTTAGGTGCTTAGAGCGAGTCTGTCTGACAAGCAAGCAGTATTGGTTGGTGTGAGTAGTTTCCAGCCACAATTATTAATCATTACTATGTACCATCAGACTGCAGTCAGTATTCAGGAATTGACAGCTGTACTAACTAACATCCTATCATCATCAACTCTTTCAGCCACCAAAAGCGATTAAAAGATCTTTTGCATGGCCTATGCAAACTCATCAGGGGCCTGATATACGACAAAAATATACACAATGCATCACATGATTTAAACGAGATCCCAATATTCACTAATTAACCTCCAAAACTGCGTTTTCTGATATGCGAATGTTTACTGAATCTGACTGGGCGATCTACAGAGTCACTGGTATTTTAATTTACGCTGTATGGTGGAGTGTAAGCTAATTTACCGGAGTGGTGTCTGCCGATTGTTGAAGATATTAAATTAGAAATAAGCTGCAGTGACCTTCTTTAGATAAACTGTCTTTCTTTTTTGTTGATTTCAATATTTTTCCACCAAGATTCTCCTTTCCTTCTTGTTCAGACGTATGATTGAATAACTGAATAACTGACCCAAAACCTGACATATTTGTGGAAGCTTCTGAGACGTTACCAACAGTCTGCAATCAGTGCATCTTAGCAGCTAGGTAATTTACACCTAACTCCATGGTTTATAATCGACAGTCAATGATTTCTTCGTCTAATGCCACGTTCAATCCAATCATCCCTAACTTTTTTTTGAGCTAATTATACTTCATGTGTTGATTTGCAGGATTTTGATTGGTAACAGGATTTCATCATGAGCTGACGCTTGAATATTAATCTGATGCTTACTAGCGATAGACTCTACCCAGGTAGGTTGTTACCTGGGTTCTAGTGGGAAGTAACAATTAGCGGGGCACAGCAAGTCGAGTGTGAGGACAAAACTAGCCACGGATGACATTGGCAGGTGCCAGTCGAGCTCTATCGTGAATTGGCAGAAGTTGGGATTCATGGGATGGCCATTGGATTGGGTCGCAGTGGCTTAATGGTCTGCGAGCCCGCCCTGTACCTGGAAGGTCCTTGGTTCGGACCCCTTTAACTGGTGCGTACTGAGGAAGAGTTTCAAACTAGGATGAAACAGATGTACGGTGCTCTCTGGTAGTTTTCAATGGTTCTCTAACCGATGTCAGCTGATGATGAAATTCTGTAACTAATTTTACTTCAGTTAATATTGTTTGTCAAAGATGGCGTTGAACCAGCAATGGTAACACCTGATCTAGCTACCCCAACAGATGAAACTTTACAACATAATAAAGTGACACTGTGCACTTAGTCTTGTCATTAATTAGTGTTACTTCACTTGAAGCAAGCAAGTGAAGAAAGATACGCATGGTTATACATTGGTTATGTTTCACTGTTACTCGCTGCATACTCCTGTCGGGTTTTCGCCGTAAAATTAATCCAAACACACCGCTGCAGAACTCTAGCCACTCCGCATTTCTGTCACTTCGATTCAACTTGGGAGTACTAATGGTCATTGAGTGAGATTGGCTTTTAACATTTTATTTTACTCAGTAGTATGACTCATTGTGCAGCAATCATCACATTATTTATGGTATCAGTGTATCTCGCACACTGTGATCTGAAATCTCCCCAGGGACTGTATTTCGTAAATATTTTACTCGAATCATATTTATTTAACTTTCTGTAAGCCTCAAAAGATATAGAAAATACATTTTCGACGAATTAGTCATATGCAGCGAGTATTTCATCTCCTCATCAGTTTTTCACTACTTTCAAATGCCTGGTATAGAGTAAATTACCTTGACCTTGGCAGAATAGATCATACTTCTACAAATAAAGGATGACCTTGACTGTAAATTGTACTTAATTAATCATCTTAGTTATAATTAAATAACATTTATATGCATTTCGTATTAAATGACCTCAAACTCTTTCTCGTTATATATATATATATATATATAACTAAAATGTTGTCTCATTGATATTATCAATATTCGACTTTAAATGATCAATTCATTCAGATATCTGAAACTGTTTTAAAAAGGAATCTCAATCTGTTATTATTATTATTATCAATGCGCTTGTTTAAATGCACGCATGTGCATATTTGTTTAGAATGGTATTTCATTCATTTAATTATACGTGACAGACAAGAATTTGCAAGACAGTTTCTTACAAATTCACTGATTAACAAAGTGATTTATAATAAATATTATGCTAATTATATTGGCAAAAATAAACTAATTCCCCTTGAACAAAGCATACTAATGTATAGTTGAATAAAGCATATGACAGGTATATGTATACACATGTATGCTTTGATAGGTGAATATTCTTACAAATGAATACAGTTGTGTAAAAAGGGGTTCATTCGTTTGAAACGAATTGAATATATGGAATAAAAATCAATAACAAAGGAGAAACAAAAATTCAACTGCTAATTTTATTTTAACTTTTGCAAGAAGAATATACCCGACGATATGATGAAG